AAAATACCACACTTGGATCCACTTCGAGGACAGCGTGAAACAAGCTTTTATGCCACAAGACGGGCAGAAAGCAGCAACTTCACTCTGGCTGTACCCTTCTCCAGAACATCACTCCATCTGAGATCATACATACCCAGGATGACTCGAGTATGGAACACATTCGTACAGGATAATGATGTCAACGAGATAAAGTCAGTTGATCAAATGAAAATGCTCGCCCACAGATGGCTCCAACTTCATCCTGTTTCCTACTTGTATGTCTCATAACAATAAAAATGCTTTCAAATGAGCTGATGTAGGTAACAGCTCTTAGCTTGCCAATAAAGTTACGAATCCTTAACTTGTAAATAGCTGTCAATAAAGCTAGGGATCCTTAAGCTTGTCAAACCCTGTGTAAAAAAAAAAAAAAAAAAAAAAAAAAAAAAAGAGAGAGAGAGGGAGAGAGAGAGAGAAAGAGAGAGAGAGAGAAAGAGACAGAGAGAGAGAGACAGAGAGATAGAGATAGAGAGAGATAGAGATTGAGAGAGAGAGAGTGAGAGAGAGATAGAGATTGATATATATAATATATATATATATATATATATATATATATAAATATATATAATATATATATATAATATATATATATATATATATATATATTATTTTTTATTTTTTTTTTTATTATCACACCGGCCGATTCCCACCAAGGCAGGGTGGCCCAAAAAAGAAAAACTTTCACCATCATTCACTCCATCACTGGTCTTGCCAGAAGGGTGCTTTACACTACAGTTTTTAAACTGCAACATTAACACCCCTCCTTCAGAGTGCAGGCACTGTACTTCCCATCTCCAGGACTCAAGTCCGGCCTGCCGGTTTCCCTGAATCCCTTCATAAATGTTACTTTGCTCACACTCCAACAGCACGTCAAGTATTAAAAACCATTTGTCTCCATTCACTCCTATCAAACACGCTCACCGCATGCCTGCTGGAAGTCCAAGCCCCTCGCACACAAAACCCTCCTTTATAACCCCCTCCCTCCAACCCTTCCTAGGCCGACCCCTACCCCGCCTTCCTTCCACTACAGACTGATACACTCTTGAAGTCATTCTGTTTCGCTCCATTCTCTCTACATGTCCGAACCACCTCAACAACCCTTCCTCAACCTCTGGACAACAGTTTTGGTAATCCCTCACCTACCTCTCCTAACTTCCAACTACGAATTTCTCTGCATTATATTCACACCACACATCTAGCCCTCAGACATGACATCCTCACTCACTACCTCAGTCCTTCTCCTCGCTGCAACATTCATCACCCACGCCACCTCACAACACCATATAAGAGCGTTGGTAAAACTATACTCTCATACATTCCCCTCTTGCCTCCAAGGACAAAGTTCTTTGTCTCCACAGACCCTAAGTGCACCACTCACTCTTTTCCTCATCAATTCTATGATTCACCTCATCTTTCATAGACCCATACCGCTGACACGTCCACTCCCAAATATCTGAATACGTTTCACGCTCCTCCATACTCTCTCCCTCCAATCTGATATTCAATCTTTCATCACCTAATCTTTTTGTTATCCTCATAACCTAACTCTTTCCTGTATTCCACCTTTAATTTTTCTTCTTTTGCACACCCTACCAAATTCATCCACCAATCTCTGCAACTTCTCTTCAGAATCTCCCAAGAGCACAGTGTCATCAGCAAAGAGCAGCTGTGACAACTCCCACTTTGTGTGTGATTCTTTATCTTTTAACTCCACGCCTCTTGCCAAGACCCTCGCATTTACTTCTCTTACAACCCCATCTATAAATATATTAAACAACCACGGTGACATCACACATCCTTGTCTAAGGCCTACTTTTACTGGGAAAAAATTTCCCTCTTTCCTACATACTCTAACTTGAGCCTCACTATCCTCGTAAAAACTCTTCACTGCTTTCAGTAACCTACCTCCTACACCATACACTTGCAACATCTGCCACATTGCCCCCCTATCCACCCTGTCATACGCCTTTTCCAAATCCATAAATGCCACAAAGACCTCTTTAGCCTTATCTAAATACTGTTCACTTATATGTTTCACTGTAAACACCTGGTCCACACACCCCCTACCTTTCCTAAAGCCTCCTTGTTCATCTGCTATCCTATTCTCCGTCTTACTCTTAATTCTTTCAATTATAACTCTACCATACACTTTACCAGGTACACTCAACAGACTTATCCCCCTATAATTTTTGCACTCTCTTTTATCCCCTTTGCCTTTATACAAAGGAACTATGCATGCTCTCTGCCAATCCCTAGGTACCTTACCCTCTTCCATACATTTATTAAATAATTGCACCAACCACTCCAAAACTATATCCCCACCTGCTTTTAACATTTCTATCTTTATCCCATCAATCCCGGCTGCCTTACCCCCTTTCATTTTACCTACTGCCTCACGAACTTCCCCCACACTCACAACTGGCTCTTCCTCACTCCTACAAGATGTTATTCCTCCTTGCCCTATACACGAAATCACAGCTTCCCTATCTTCATCAACATTTAACCATTCAAAATATTCCCTCCTTCCCAATACCTCTAACTCTCCATTTAATAACTCTCCTCTCCTATTTTTAACTGACAAAACCATTTGTTCTCTAGGCTTTCTTAACTTGTTAATCTCACTCCAAAACTTTTTCTTATTTTCAACAAAATTTGTTGATAACATCTCACCCACTCTCTCATTTGCACTCTTTTTACATTGCTTTACCACTCTCTTAACTTCTCTCTTTTTCTCCATATACTCTTCCCTCCTTGCATCACTTCTACTTTGTAAAAACTTCTCATATGCAAACTTTTTCTCCCTTACTACTCTCTTTACATCATCATTCCACCAATCGCTCCTCTTCCTCCTGCACCCACTTTCCTGTAACCACAAACTTCTGCTGAACACTCTAACACTACATTTTTAAACCTACCCCATACCTCTTCGACCCCATTTCCTATGCTCTCATTAGCCCATCTATCCTCCAATAGCTGTTTATATCTTACCCTAACTGCCTCTCTTTTAGTTTATAAACCTTCACCTCTCTCTTCCCTGATGCTTCTATTCTCCTTGTATCCCATCTACCTTTTACTCTCAGTGTAGCTACAACTAGAAAGTGATCTGATATATCTGTGGCCCCTCTATAAACATGTACATCCTGAAGTCTACTCAACAGTCTTTTTATCTACCAATACATAATCCAACAAACTACTGTCATTTCGCCCTACATCATATCGTGTATACTTATTTATCCTCTTTTTCTTAAAATATGTATTACCTATAACTAAACCCCTTTCTATACAAAGTTCAATCAAAGGGCTCCCATTATCATTTACACCTGGCACCCCAAACTTACCTACCACACCCTCTCTAAAAGTTTCTCCTACTTTAGCATTCAAGTCCCCTACCACAATTACTCTCTCACTTGGTTCAAAGGCTCCTATACATTCACTTAACATCTCCCAAAATCTCTCTCTCTCCTCTGCATTCCTCTCTTCTCCAGGTGCATACACGCTTATTATGACCCACTTCTCGCATCCAACCTTTACTTTAATCCACATAATTCTTGAAGGAGGGGTGTAAATGTTGCAGTTTAAAATCTGTAGTGTAAAGCACCCTTCTGGCCAGACAGTGATGGAGTGAATGATGGTGAAAGTTTTTCTTTTTCGGGCCACCCTGCCTTGGTGGGAATCAGCCAGTGTGATAATAAAAAAAATAAAATAAAAGATTTTTTTTTTTTTTTTATCACACCGGCCGATTCCCACCAAGGCAGGGTGGCCCGAAAAAGAAAAACTTTCACCATCATTCACTCCATCACTGTCTTGCCAGAAGGGTGCTTTACACTACAGTTTTTAAACTGCAACATTAACACCCCTCCTTCAGAGTGCAGGCACTGTACTTCCCATCTCCAGGACTCAAGTCCGGCCTGCCGGTTTCCCTGAACCCCTTCATAAATGTTACTTTGCTCACACTCCACATTTACTAAAAAAGAGAAGAAAAAAATAAAAGATAATATATATATATATATATATATATTATATATATATATATATAATATATATATATATATATATATATATATATATATATATATATATATATTATATATAAAATATACATACATACATACATACATACACATATACATACCCACAGGCAGACTGAAAGATATACACAGGCAGACAGGGAGAGAAAAGCAGAGAGAGTTAGACATACAGCTAGAAAGACAGACAGAAGTAGACAGGTAGACAGATGCAACAGTGAGAACAAGAACAAATATGAAAACATATGCCAAGGTTCACTTGGAGCAGTGATTGCACTGTTTGCACTTGTCTGACACCATACTTCAAGGAGTTTCATGTACTTCTAAAAACATTGCTGGGACATAAACAATTTATATATATTTCTAGACAATAGCATATGACCGAGGCAGATGAACTTGTTCACCTGTCACTGTGCATGTGACTGTTTGATTACTACTTCAGTACATAATATTAATGTCAGAATGAAGGTTGGCTATAAAATCACAAGAAATACTACAAATTGTAATTATCAGAACATAAAAATAATGTAAATTAAAATAATGCAAGGAAAAAAGGTATATTGGCAACATTTCTGCAACTGGCAGGACTCCATCCACGTTGCTGTCAGGTGAGCATCCAGCACCAACTTTGCAAATCTTGGGAAGTACTGACCCTAAAAAATTCTTTTTGTCTCATGACACACAGAATATTACCCTCTTTATTTAAAAAAAAATAAAAATATTCAAAGTGCTAGCAGTGACAACGTAGATCTACATTTGGACAGTTAAAGAGTTAAGAGATGTGATGAGTTGTTAGTGTCAGCAAGGTAATACCTACATAGAGAAATATGGTAAACAAACCACAGAATGGGTGGGGTTTGAGTGAGTGGTAGAATATGTAATCCATTTTAATGAATAAATACTAATTTGCGGAAGTTGTTAAAAAGTAAAAGCACTAACTTGAAGATCTCTGCCGCTGTCAAGATAAACACCACCAATGACAGACTCGACCAGGTCACCCAACACCTTAGGAACATCCACGTCCTGTAATACAAATACACGTATAAACACTGCAGTACATGATCACAATCTTCAAATATTTTACACACTGGGTAAAATATCTCCACCACCCCAACCTAATGACTCCCAGTTTTGTGAGATTACTGGTATTAGCAGCTTGCATTCTGATGGAGGAACTACAAACTGGCAAAATAAATGGATAAACAAGCAACTCAAATGAACAGCAACAGTTAGCAGATGGGTTATTCTATGTCAAGTGGTTTGATTTTAGAAGCGTCCCAACACAGCATCATGGATTTTAATGAAACTTAGTGTGCTGAATCTTACATGACTCAGACTAAGTTTGGTAAAGTTTTAGATCCGTCAATGAAATGGTTGCTGAGATAGAACCCTTTGTTTGACAACATGCTATGACCATGTACCGTAAACCCATGAAATTTTGGCAGCTTTGAATCAAAATAATTTCTCATTCTTTCTACCATAAAATGAAACTTTGCTGTCTTGCATAACTTCTTATGCTTAATCCAGTGGAATTAATATGGTTTTACATTTTTTAAAATGACATGCTGACTGAACCTCAAAGTAGGGCAAAAATATCAACGAGTCAAAAAAATGTCGAAGTTCAACTTTCTCTGGCTCATTTAATAATAAAGATATGCTCGTTCTCCAGGACGAGTGTACTTCAGTGGTTAGTGAGGGTAAAGGTATCACTGACTCCCCTGCTAATCAAGGTAAGAATATTCTAATTGTAGGAGATTCTCAGGTAATTATATGGACCGTGCTTTTTGTAACAGAGATAGGAAGGTCAGACAGAGCGTGTGCCTCTCAGGAGCTGGTGTTGGTGACATAGTCAGCAAATTGGATAATATTATGCTAGGAAATGCATTATTCTTACTGAGACCTGGCTTAAGCAGGACACAATAGATATCTACCCTCTACCAGGATACACAGCAATTCACAACTGCAGACCAAACCAAGTTGGGGGTGGTATTGCAATCTATTACTCTAACCAATTATCTTGTATTAGCACCACTTGCTTTAGTGATGAATATGGGGAATACATTTTTGCTAATTTTACTGTAAAATACCTTAAGACACCTATAACAATCGGTGCCATTTACCGGATACCTCACACAAACATCCCAAATTTCAGTGAGAAATTAAAGTCACTAATAACAAACAGACAAATGAATAAGCACCACCTTCTCTTAGCTGGAGACTTCAACATCAACCTTGGCTTACTAGATGATCAGCCTGTAACTGATTTCATCAACAATATGAACAACACACTTCTCATACCAACAATAACTAAACCAACCAGGCTCACTGAGACAAGTGCAACCATAATAGACCACATATGGACCAATATACTAGCCCCCCTTAAATCAGGGATAATCACAGATAGCACTACAGACCACTACCCTACCTTCCTTATGACAAACATTAATAAACCACCACTTGAATACAACAAAGTCTCATTTAGACTCCATGACGAGGCCTCAATAAGGAAGTTCACAACTGACCTAGAGATTGTTGACTGGCCTACAGAATTCTCCAAGGCCAATGGTATTGATGACTGGACAGACATTTTTCTTAACAAATTACTTAGACTATACAACAAACATTGTCCTATAAAAACGAAACAGATCACAAACAAACGGCTTGGTTGCCCATGGCTAACCAGCACCATTCTGAAATCCATTGACAAGAAACACCAATATGAAAAGCAATATAGACAGGGCTTAAAACACAAAGATATTCTTAAACACTATTCATCAGTTCTCACCAAAGTAATAAAGAAAGCCAAACAACTATACTACTCCAGTAGATTCACAGACACTAGAGGAGATATAAAAAAGACCTGGAAAACACTCTCTCAGATTCTAGGGACCCACAAACGTAAAAAAAAACAAGAATATTGTCCTAACTAAACCTAATGAAACACCACTACATCCCACTGACACAGCTAACAAGATAAACGACTTCTTCTCAACCATAGGATCTAATCTCGCCAATAAAATCCCACATACTAATGCCCATGCCGGGGACTACCTAGATGGGAATTTCCCAAATTCCTTCTATCTTGCACCAACTGAGCCCTCGGAAGTCACTGAGATTATAAAGTCACTTAAAAACAACTCAGGGAATCTGTCTAATGTCCCACCATTACTGTACAAGCGAGCGGCCCATATCCTATCGCATGCTATTTCATCACTTTTTAACAAGTCACTAGAAACTAGCACCTTCCCAAAACTACTCAAGATGGCAAGGGTTACACCAATACATAAAGGTGGTGACCCTACAGACTTAAACAACTATAGGCCAATATCAAACTTACCATTGCTATCCAAAATCTTTGAGAAACTCGTGTACAGGAGACTATATTCATTTATAACAGCACAAAACATACTCAACCCCTGCCAATTTGGATTTAGGAAAAATAAAAGCACTAATGATGCAATCATAAAAATGCTAGATCTGCTTTACACAGCATTGGAAAATAAGGAATAACCACTAGGAATTTTTATTGACCTAAGAAAATCTTTTGACACAGTAGACCACGACATCCTACTCCACAAACTTGACCATTACGGTATAAGAGGCCATGCGCTTGCTTATTTCAAATCTTACCTTACTAATAGGTATCAGTATGTTACCATTAAAAACACAGCATCAACAACACGGCCACTTGATACTGGAGTTCCGCAGGGAAGTGTCCTTGGTCTCCTGCTCTTCCTCATATACATCAATGATCTTCCAAATGTATCCCAACACCTGAAACCCATTCTCTTTGCTGACGACACGACTTATGTCATCTCTCACCCTAATCTTGCCACCCTCAACACCATTGTTAACGAGGAGCTGATCAAAATATCGACTTGGATGACAGCCAATAAACTTATGCTTAACACTGACAAAACCTACTATATTATGTTTGGTAGCAGAGCAGGAGATGCACAAATTAACATTAAGAACGACAACACTCTAATTACCAGACATAATGAGGGCAAATTCCTAGGCCTATACCTTGACAACAACCTGAATTTCAGCACCCATATCCAACACATAACCAAAAAAGTATCCAAAACAGTTGGGATCCTCTCCAAGATACGATACTACGTGCCGCAAAATGCCCTTCTCACACTATACCACTCATTTATTTATCCATACCTCACCTATGCTATTTGTGCTTGGGGATCAACTGCAGCAACACACCTCAAGCCAATAATAACCCAACAAAAAGCTGCAGTAAGAATAATCACTAAATCCCATCCCTGGCAACACCCCCCCCCCCATTCTTCATAGATCTAAACTTACTCCTTGTTCAGTACATCCACACTTACTACTGTGCAATCTACATCTACAGGACCTTAAACTCCAATATCAACCTTGACCTAAAATGCTTTCTTGATAGTTGTGACAGAACCCACAGGCATAACACCAGACACAAACATCTCTACGACATTCCCAATGTCCGACTAAACCTTTACAAAAATTCAATGTATGTCAAAGGCCCTAAAATCTGGAACACCCTACCTGAGAACTCTAGAACTGCAGACACATTCATCACCTTCAAAACTACCATAAGAAAACATCTTATCTCCCTGATAAACCCCATCAACTAACTACACGAATACCACCTGGTGGTTCACACTTACACTCACTCACCCATTTGACCATGAACAGAAATATTAATCTCAATCTTAAAATAATGAATCCTGTGATACTCCAATACTGAACCTATGTACTGTGCCAAAACAAAAGCATTCACATTGCTAAACTCACAAACTAGTATTTAGTCACTTAGCCATAATACCAACTTACCTCATAATTTGTAATATTTTAAAATAAAGAATTAAACTAAGTCTGCCCGAAATGCCTAGCCATGCTAGGCGTTCTAGTGGTACACTCTGTAATCATTATTTAACTACATGTAAACCACACAACAACCAAATTCTGTAAATTCAACATTGTAATCTTTATAGAGAATAAACTTTGAATTTGAATTATCTGTCTTAGTGCTGGGGGTAATGACACTAGGAAGGGCAGGAGACTGGAGCTACTGGATAAGTACAGGTCAGCCATAGAAGTAGTCAAGTCTAAGGAAGGAATTTCAATCATATGTAGCATCTTGCCTAGAAAGGGAGTGGGCAATGAATGGATGTCTAGGGCAACTGGTATAAATTGCTGTCTAGACAGGTACTGCAAGGAACTTGCAATCCCATTCACTGATAACAAATTCTATGGCAAACGTGATATGTATGCAAGGGATGGGGTTCATCTCTGGGGATGGAGTGGTTGCATTAGCCAATTTGATTGATGGGGTAATTGATGACTTGTCTAGGACTTTAAACTGATAGATTATAGAGGTATGGATGTTTGTGGGAAACAACCATGCTGCAGTATTAGGGTTGAAAACAGCAGACATTACCGGGATACCTCAGGGATATGTTTAAAAGACAATATTCGAAATAAAGTTGCTAGTAAATGCAAAGCAATAGATCAACAAAGAGAGATAGTAGAAGGCAACAAGTAACTAGCTCCCGTAAGGTTTACTATACAAATAGTAGAAGTCTAAGAAATAAGAATAATGAGCTAAGAGTACTTGCAAGTGCAGGTAATATAGATATTATTGGTATAACAGAGACATGGTTCAACCTCAAAGATAGAGAAATGCCTTCTGAATGCAACATACAGGGTTATAAACTATTCCACACTGATAGGGTCAACAGGAAGGGTGGTGGAGTGGCGATGTATGTCAGAGAAAATTTAAATTGTTGTCTTAGACATGATATAAGATTAGAAACATCAGACACAGTATTTGTTTGGGTAGTTTCTCAAGAATTGTGACAAATTCATTTTGGGTGTAATTTACAGGCCTCCCAAACCTTGATAGGGAGTGTAGTAAGCTGTTATGGGATGAAATTCATAAGGCATCTAGATATGAAAATGTTGCAATAATGGGAGATTTTAACTTTAGACAAATTGACTGGAACAATGTGACAGGATATCTTGAGTCTAGT